TCAGGTTCGCTGACTTGGTTGATGTATGTCATCGTACCCCAATTGCGTGGATCGATGCTCGTGATGTCAATAACTGGATTGTCTGGTTCAGACTCGATTATTTACAGACCGCCGTCAAATAGAATGTAAATATTATATGTTATCCCTATGATATATATTGATTCTCTAAACAATTATGTTTACAGACATGTTTACAACTATATCCAAAATATCGCAATTCAATTGAGGCTGTTTAAGTCTCAATTAAATACCCGTTTACTGTGACATATCCGAGGGATTTTACGACGCTTTCTCAGGTATGTCTGCGCAATGGACCATGTAACTAAAACTGTTACTATCCTGAGAACATAATGTTGGTTACCTCAGCATCCGGATGTATGTGATAAATTATCTGAAATACATCGTGTCTGTCTATTAAGCGTAAATACACAATGACCACATGTTGTATCACACTGGATACAAACTTGATTTTTTAGTGTTCTTAAAACCTGAGTAAAACTTTTTTTTAAAGAAGTGAGTGAGTGAGTATGTTTTTACGCCGCTTTTAGCAATATTCCAGCAATATCACGGCAGGGGACACCAGAAATGGGCTTCACACATTGTACCCATGTCGGGAATCGAACCCGGGTCTGCGGCGTGACGAGCAAACGCTTTAACCACTAGGCTACCCGACCGCCCCTTTTTTAAAGAACGATATGTTACTAACTAATACATTCGTAGGGTAACAAGTTGTGTATACTGATATGGTACCTCAATAAGAATTAACTGTGTGATTATTATGCAGAAATTTGAAACTATAATTATTTCAATTGATACTACTATGTCTATCCCGCATTACATAAACTCAATGTCTGGATGTCAAGTGATCAATTTAATATCATACGAAACTTGGCTATGTATGTTTATAAGTCTATGCAATTAAGGACAAAACTGTTGATGTATATTTCAATGATAATAATGACTGCTGTACAACTGCTGTGACACGGGCAGATGGCCTACGTAACCTTGCTGAATAAACAAACAATTTTTATAGCGTTGGGGTAAAGGGATAAAAGTTTATCCAATTTTATCAACGAGTGTTGACATATTTTATATCAAAAGACACGAGGGTGTGATTTTACTTATCATCCAACATCATTCTTCCAATTTTTTCAGTTTGTAAAACAGTGATAAGCAGTGTCTTAAGTGTAAAAAGTAGTGCTAACATCTTCAGTAGCAGGGCCATTAGTGATGTCATTTGATTGTGACGTCATGATAACCAATGACATCACAGTGATCTGCAAAGAATTGTGATGCAATTTCATTTCAGCGATATCTAGAATGTAGATATCGCTTGATCTCACCAATGCGATATCTATTGTGGGAGCCAGTTTGGGATGATAACGTATGATAAAGCGTTCGCTCGTCACCCTGAAGGTCCGTGTTCGATTCTCAACGTGTGTCCATCGCGTGAAGCCTATTTCTGGTGTCCCGTGACGTGATATTGCTGGATTGTTGCTAAATGAGTCGTAAAATCACATTCTCCAGTTATATTCGGCCTTGTGTATTCATTACACTTTCACGGAACCTAAATTGCACAACTACGATGGCTGTCAAACGAAAGGTTGTGTGGGCTGTAATCTGATTGCTTGGGAAATGTAATCTGGTTTCCGGCTCCCTATGCGCCTCGTCAGCTGATAAGAGATATGAAGAGACGGGGCCCAGCTAAATGAGATGCGATGCCCGGATGTCTCGTGGGATATTCACAATGTATGAACACATTTCTATTATCGCTCGATCCCAAATCAGAAGTTTGGTGAAATACCAAGTTAATTAAATCATATATTAATGCAAGGATTCCGCGGCATTTGACTGGTTAACCAAGCATCTGTTTTTTGCGTCTTTGATGTTATATAAGATAGCTACGCGACAAATAGAAAAGACCAATGAAGAACGAAGCGTTGTATATTTCATGATACAACATTGTACTTTCATGACGTCATTTCTGAAGATTCGAACATGCGCTCGCAACTTGCAATTGATGACGTCGTAAATTGGACGACGTTATTTTTGAGAGGGAAGTGTCTCGTGAGTTGTTCCCCATAGATGTAGCTGATGAATGCAATGGCCAACAATCGCATCCAAAAGTGGGAGTGATATGACAATCGGTATTGGGATAAATGGTGCATATAATTGACCTGAAAATTGTGATAATACCCAAACGTAACCCCCCTATACATAAAAATGACTTGTCCGACATTGCCGAAGACGGACTGTATTCAGAGTCATCATTATTTACGTGTTAAAAAATTCAAAGCTTGTACATTTTATTGACATCCGTAAAAAGGTTTTACAAAATGTTCATGTCTTATATAAGAAATAAACGACAAGTAGGAGTATCGAATAATAAAACACTGCAGGGAGAATGAACCACGATGGGCGCAGTTTATTTCTTAATAACCGAAAAATTATATTATACGCTAATATCTACACTTTACAGTGCAGACTACTTCGTAGGTTTATTTCTCATTAAAGCGCTAAACAAACTATAATAGAAGTTAATTCATAACTAAGTTTGATCAATATTTATCAGAATAACCAGGTGTATTCAGTTATCACGGATTCATGTGTCGTCGTCAATTGTAACATGACGTCATCGCATTTCATAGTGACGTCATAGCATTCGGAGGGAGTTTTTCAGATGGTTACGTGTGTATTTAGTATGTAGATAACATCATCGCATTTTATTGAGTATTCAATGTCAATATATCTATTTTTAGGCAAAAATTATTAGGCATGTTCAAATAGCTGAAGGGGGGCACGGGTGGCCCAGTCATCAAAGGCGCCGCAATTCGCTGTGCAGAGTTGCGTCCCTTGGGCACGCCAGAAACCTTGGATTGTGGGTTCGAATCCCGGTTGGCCCCGATTATGTTTCTAGGTTTGTCAGCAACATATCCGTGCTCGAGGGTTTCACCAAAGTGGTAAACGTCTGAGACCTGCATCACTTCGGGCTTTCCTCCCACATTAAGCTGACACGCCGCGATATAACTGTAATACTGTTAAAAGCGGAGTTAAACACAGCTCACTCACTCACTCACTCAAATGGCTGAAAGTCCCAAACTTGTGTCAGTAATTGTTCCTGTTCAAAGTTTAGAAAAATGCTTCATGAACACCTCTAGAATCACCCTTTTTGACACATTTTATTTGTACCTATATATTTAATCTTGTCATAAGTCTGCAACATGCAATTGTTGAAGTTTAGTCCTCATTCATATCAACATATCTCGTAAGTTCCATATTACAGCATCTATTTTACCCAATTCTTGAATTATGCAGATCCTGCGGTCTACAGTAGACTTATCCCAGTTTGTCCTTAATGGAGGCCTCGCTCGAGGCTGTTATTTTGGTTTTAAGCTATGGTGGCAACTGGATCCGTGATTTTTATCATACTAGAATGAAGATAAGATACCAATGATAATCGGGGATGAGCGTGATCAATAAAGATGGTACTTTTGTCAATGTCTTGTGGTCTGCAGGGTGCACGGTTGGCCCAGTCGTCTTAGGCGCCGCGATTCGCTGTGCAGAGTTGCGTCCCTTGGGCACGCCAGAAACCTATGATTGTGGAATCGAATCCCGGTTCGCCCAAATTATGTTTCTAGGTTTGTCAGCACCATACCTGTGCTCCTGGGTTTCAATGAAGTGGTAAACGTCTGAGACCTGCAATTCCTCCCACATTAAGCTGACACGCCGTGATGTAACTGGAATACTGTTAAAAACGGCGTTAAAGCCAACTCACTTACTCAATGGTTAAAAACATATGTTTGTACCCCATGTAGTTATTATAGCTACGTTAGCCAATTCATGTTTCGAAACATTACTGATAACATATGTGAGTGGCCTACTCTTATCCCATTACCAGCTCAACTGAATAGGGCATCATGGATACATGTTCACTTTGAGATTTCTTTGGATTCGTTAACTGCTGTGCCGTCGAACGTCATAGCATTCGGAGGGAGTTTTTCAGATGCTGACTGATTACGTGTGTATTTAGTATTTAGATAACATCATCGCATTTTATTGAGTATTCAATGTCAATATATCTATTTTTAGGCAAAAATTATTAGGCATGTTCAAATAGCTGAAGGGGGGCACGGGTGGCCCAGTCATCAAAGGCGCCGCAATTCGCTGTGCAGAGTTGCGTCCCTTGGGCACGCCAGAAACCTTGAATTGTGGGTTCGAATCCCGGTTCGCCCCGATTATTTTTCTAGGTTTGTCAGCAACATACCCGTGCTCGTGGGTTTCACCAAAGTGGTAAACGTCTGAGACCTGCATCACTTGGGCCTTTCCTCCGACATTAAGCTGACACGCCGTGATATAACTGGAATGCTGTTAAAGGCGGCGTTAAACCCAACTCACTCACTCACTCAAATGGCTGAAAGTCCCAAACTTGTGTCAGTAATTGTTCCTGTTCAAATTTTAGAAAAGTGCTTCATGAACACCTCTAAAATCACCCTTTTTGACACATTTTATTTGTACCTATATATTTAATCTTGTCATAAGTCTGCAACATGCAATTGTTGAAGTTTAGTTCTCATTCATATCAACATATCTTGTAAGTTCGATATTAAAACAGGATCTATTTTATCCAATTCTTGAATTATGCAGATCCTGCGGTCTAAAGTAGACTCATCCCGGTTTGTCCTTAATGGAGGCCTCACTCGAGGCCGTTATTTTGGTCTTAAGCTATGGAGGCAATTGGATCCGTGATTTATATCATACTAGAATGAAGATAAGATACCAATGATAATCGGGGATGAGCGTGATCAATAAAGATGGTACTTTGGTCCATGTCTTGTGGTCTGCAGGGTGCACGGTTGGCCCAGTCGTCTTAGGCGCCGCGATTCGCTGTGCAGAGTTGCGTCCCTTGGGCACGCCAGAAACCTATGATTGTGCGTTCGAATCCCGGTTCGCCCCGATTATGTTTCTAGGTTTTTCAGCACCATACCAATGATTGACACAGGTTTGAAATATAAATGTTTTATTCTTTTCAACAACTACTAATCTTTAAGCACATGAATCACCCAATGACAGTTCCTGTTGTCTTGGGCCGGCATTTCCCATATAAGGAGCGGAAGGTGGGAGTGTCGATGTTAGGATGACAGGACATGCCATTAGCACACGGGCATGTGGACGCTGTCACTTTCGTTGAACAGTCGGCGTTTCGGGATCCAAGCTTCTTGCAGTACACATAGGCTTCGGGGAATACTTCATGGACGCAGCAGAACCCAACAGGGCATTTGGGGTTACAATCAACCTACAACCATAACAACTATGAGCCGATCTTCAATGGTTAAAGGGGGAATCAAATATTTGACGTTGCAGTTTCTATAAAAGTCTTCTATCGAAACTTTGGTGCCTTTTTCCATGAGGGGCACGGACGGCCCAGTCGTCTAAGGCGCCGCGATTCGCTTCGCTGTGCAGAGTTGCGTCCCTTGGGCATGCCAGAAACCTGTGATTGTGGATTCGAATTCCGGTTCGCCCCGATTATGTTTCTAGGTTTGTCAGCACCATACCCGTGCTCGTGGGTTTCAGCGAAGTGGTAAACATCTGAGACCTGCATTACTTCGGGCTTTTCTCCCACATTAAGTTGACACGCCGTGATGTTACTGGAATAATGTTAAAAGCGGTGTTAAAGCCAACTCACTCACTCACTCACTCACTCACTCACTCACTCACTCACTCAGTGGTTAAAAACATATGTTTCTACCACATGTAGTTATTAGAGCTGAGTTAGCCAATTCATGCTTCAAAACATTAATGATAACATATGTGAGTGGCCTACTCTTATCCCATTAACAACTCAAGTGAATAGGACATCATGGATATATGTTTACTTTGAGATTTCTTTGGATTCATTAACTACTGTGCCGAGTGTTTCATCTTGACCAGGGTGCCGTTGTACAAAGCGTTCCCAGCGCTAAAGTGATCGTAACTCCCATACATTAACAATGACTAGTACAAGCAAACATTGAAGTTGCAAAGCTTATTGAACGCCCCTCGTAACTATAACTAATATTTTACATCAAAAGACACGAGGGTGAGATTTTACTTATCATCCAACATCATTCTTCCAATTTTTTCAGTTTGTTAACAGTAATAAGCAGTGTCTTAAGTGAAAAACGTAGTGCTGACATCTTCAGTAGTAGAGCCATTAGTGATGTCATTTGATTGTGACGTCATGATAACCAATGACATCACAGTGATCTGCAAAGAATTGTGATGCAATTTCATTTCAGCAATATCTACAATGTAGATATCGCTTGATCTCAGCCAAGCGATATCTACTGTGGGAGCCAGTATGGATGATAACATATGTTAAAGCGTTCTCTCGTCACCCTGAAGGTCCGTGTTCGATTCTCAACGTGTGTCCATCGTGTGAAACCTATTTCTGGTGTCCCATGACGTCATATTGCTGGATTGTTGCTAAATGAGTCGTAAAATCACATTCTCAAGTTATCTTCGGCCTTGTGTATTCATTACACTTTCACGGAACCTAAATTGCACAACTACGATGGCTGTCAAACGAATGGTTGTGTGGGTTGTAATCTGATTGCTTGGGAAATGTAATCTGGTTTCCGGCTCCCTATGCGCCTCGTCAGCTTATAAGAGATATGAAGAGACGGGGCCCAGCTTAATGAGATGCAGGGACTGGTCGGCTCGGAGTCAGTATACTGTGTCTGAGTGGGGTATTCATGTTAAACTGCGGCATGGTATCTAAGTGGGCTAACACTATAAAATCAGCTTTAGTCCGGACTAGTACAAGCAAACATTGAAGTTGCAAAACTTATTGAACGTCCCTCGTAACTATAACCGCTTCAGTGCTATGACCAACTTTTTTTTTTAATTTCCAAGCGTTTTAGCCAATCATCTCCTTTACAAACTCACCTGGGATGAACTTCCTAACAAGACACAGAAGGAGAGAACGAACAATAAATTCCACCGGGCAGCCATTGTCTGTTTTCCTGTTCAATCGTTATCAGCGTGTTAAACCACAGCCGTCTGATAAAATATATGCGAGGGTACTGGTAAGTACATAATGACGAAGAAAATGGCGATAAGAGATTTGCCATATAACGCAGGGTATTGACTGGAAAAGGAGATTTTCTTATTCATTCATTTCACTAACGGATGACGATAAAAGAAGGTTTATCGCAATCAAATACCTCGTATGTTTGTTTGTTGTTTAACGCCACTCTCAGGAATAAACATGCACATTCATTCACTATTAAGCCACGTACGACTTCACTGTTGTAAATATCTATGGTCTTGATTTGTCACAATTATGATTTAATAATGCCATGTATTCACTGGAATCTCTGACCCGTGACGATCCGGGGTAGAATAGGTCTTCAGCAACCCATGCTTGCCGTAAAAGGCGACTATGCTTGTCGTAAAAGGCGACTAAGGGGATAGCGTGGTCAGGCTCGCTGACTTGGTTGATGCATGTCATCGTATCCGAATTATGTGGATCGATGCTCATGATGGCAATCACTGGATTGTCTGGTCCAGACTCGATTATTTACAGACAGCCGTCATATAGCTGGCATTTTGCTGAGTGCGGCGTATCAAATATCACAAACAAATATGAACATATCTAATGCTCATCTTATGAAAGGTCAGCGTTCATGGAAGAGTCAGTGTGTGAGACTTGGTTTGATGCCTCTTTTTACTGTATTTCACTCACGGCGTATCAGCTTAATGTGGGGGGAACACCTCAAGTGATACGGGTTTACCACTTTGGTGAAACTCAAGAGCAGGGGTATGGAGCTGAGAGTGAGTGAGTGAGTTGGGTTTAACGCCGCTTTTAACATTATTCCAGTTATACCACGGCGTGTCAGCTTAATGTGGGAGGAAAGCCCGAAGCGATGCAGGTCTAAGACGTTAACCACTTCGGTGAAACCCACGAGCACGGTGCTGACAAACCTAGAAACATAATTGGGGCGAACCGGGATTCGAACCCACGATCATAGGTTTCTGGCCTGCGCAGGGATGCAATTCTACACCGCGAATTGCGGCGCCTTAGACGACTGGACGACCTGTGCCCCCTCATGGACAAAGGAATAAAGCAGGTAGTTCAACTTATCGTCCATATTCAGCTGAGAAGAAAATTCTGAAATATTGTCTCTATTTGGAACTCAAACCTCTGGTTATTTATCACAGTGCATTTGACTGTGACCCTGATTGTAAACTGGATGTGTCTGTTTTGGGTATCTCCTATAAGGAGTTACTAAATAATGTGACCAAAAATGTAAATCATGGCAAATCAGGAATATCAGTTGTAGTTGTGTTTCCTTCCAGCAACAAAATGATGTTTTAATAGTCCAGACCATCAGGATAACATGTCTCCATCGAAAGAGATTATTGTACAGAGATGTCATCAGATCATATTTAATATTGACCTTTAGATGAAAGTAACACCAATACCATTTCAATAGTGTTCTTAATTTGCAATAGTTAGTCATTTCTCAAACGTGTTTCGTTTCAAATGTCACAGGATGTTCCTGTTTGCTTAGAGTGAGTGAGTGAGTGAGTGAGTGAGTATGGTTTTACGCCCATGTCGGGAATCGAACTCGGGTCTTCGGCATGACGAGCGAACGCTTTAACCACTAGGCTACCCGACCGCCCCTGTTTGCTCAGAAACATGATAGATTTAGTCAGAAGAAACGCGAATAATTTCATGATATTTTAATCATTTTGTGTCATAGTTGTCCTATATCCGTTGTTGGAGATCAGTTCATCCAGTGATACTGCCATGTGCTGTTGTGTTAGGCTGGCATTTGCCGTACAGTGAATGGAAGGTGGCACTCTCAATGTTGGGACGGCAGTACATGCCCGAGACACACGGACAGGCGGACTCCGTCACCCTCATCGTGCAGTCCATGTTGAGGACTCCCATCTTCTTGCAGTACACGTAGGAGGGAAGGAATTCGTCACGGACGCAGCAGTAACCATTGGGACAGACGTTCATGCGATTACTTATTGATGGGTCACAGTCCATATCAATAGTCACCTGCAATGGTAAAGACTCCATTGTCAATGGTTGAAAAATCTGTTTTTTTCTTCATATAGAAATAATTGCAACATCTGTGATTCATGTTTCGAAAACTACCAGTAACATGCACGGCTAGCAGAATCATATACTAACATCAGGTGAGGGGAGGTGAAATTGGGTTTAACGTCGCGTCCAAAATTATTGCACTTATATAGCGACGCGCATGCACGTGTGTGGCTGCTTGTACTAGTCCGGACTGATGCCAATTTATAGTGCTAGCACAATGAGATACCATGCCGCAGTTTAACATGAATACCCCACTCAGACACAGTATACTGACTCCGAGGCGACCAGTCCTTGTTTTAGCCCCCTTAATGCCGAGCGCCAGGCAGAGTACTATCAACAAGTACTATCTTTGAAAGTGTTTTTGATGACTCGGCCGGGGATCTAACCCCGGACCTTCCGCTCTCCGGACGCCCTACCACTAGACCACGGAGGCGGTCAATACTAAGATCAAACACTGAGTTGTATAAGATATTATAGCTAAAATGGATAGAATTATCATAAAAACGCCCGCATGTTATCAGAAATGAGCGGGCCACTGTAACTTGATAATGCCCTCAAATTACTTGACGACGGGCCATTATCACGCCCGTTGTTAGGTGACGTCATAGGATAGGGATAGGTGACGTAACGTTCAATAGTGACGTCATCTGGTTTGTTCTGTGACGTTTCCATATTTGTAAAAGTGGGTCAGTGACATTCGTGTTGATTGCAGTAAATGTTTCAAAATCGACATTGTTGTTTCTTTTTATTTGATAACAAATTCCATCCATTTTAGCTATAATAACGGTAACGCTATTTTTCAGTGCATTATCATTTGCAGAAGCCCTCGGTCTTTCCAACTGCCCTCCTTCGTCGGGCAGTTAATGGAAGACCTCGGGCTTCTGCAAATGATAATGCCCTGAAAAATAGCGTTACCCTTATACCAGGAGCTGATTTTCACTGATCATATAATATCTATCACTATTTTGCCCTTTACACCCAATAGATTACATTGGGTGAGTGAGTGAGTATATAATAGAGACTGGTTATTCTCTATCGTTGACGTTTGTATTTATATTGGAATCTATGCCAACATTACAAATCGTTCCTTCTTGTGCAGCCATAGAAATAGGTTGCTCTATGATGTAATCTTGAAGAGATAACAGCTTTTGTGTTATAATTGACATTTTTGTTTTTAAAAAATCAAATCCTATCTTATTTACTTTCCTTTAAACTAAAATCGTTATTAGTACCTCACCTGACCAATCAGCTGGTATGAACTTCTGAAGAGGACACAGAGGGAGAGAACGGACAGTAAATTCCATCGGGTCGCCATTGTCTGTCTGTATGTGCAGTCGTTATCTAGCAGCTGTTATCAGTATGTTACAGGCAGGTCGTGTTGTTTGTGCATAATTTAAGGTTAAACCACAGCCGTCGGTTTAAGTATGCTGTGGGGTCTTGGTCACAACAGCGATTAATTGGTTACAAGATATATGCAATGTGATCCCGGTTCCTGACTTGAATAGACGGTTCATTTCAGTTACAGATGGCATGGTTTTAGATGGAAGGATTATGGCAATGAATTACCAGAAGAATAACAAGTACTATGCTTATATTTACTGATGACCCCATAGTAAATCAGACCACGGCTATGTGTCATGCAATGCATGCAATGCTGGACCATGGCTTTCACTTATCGCAGTCTCCAGCAGTGGTGTAAAACACGTGCAGAAGCCAAGTGGACTTGTTACTTGCAGGGATAGAGGCTTCTGTTGTACCCATGGTGGAGAATCGAGTCTTCTGTGTGCACAGCGTACGCTGCAACCACTAAGTTACCCAAACGCCCGTGTGTGTGTGTGTGTGTGTGCGTGCGTGCGTGTGTGTGTGTGTGTGTGTTTTTGTGTGTGTGTTTATGTGTGCGTGTGTGTGTGCGTGTGCGTGTGTGCGTGCGTGCGTGTGTGTGTGCGTGCGTGCGTGCGTGCGTGCGTGTGTGTGTGCGTGCGTGTGTGCGCGTGCGTGTGTGTGCGTGTGTGTGTGTGCGTGCGTGCGTGTGTGTGTGTGTGTGCGTGCGTGCGTGCGTGCGTGTGTGTGTGTGTGTGTGTGTGAGAGAGAGAGAGAGAAGGATGGGGGTAAACAGAACACAGCAATAACGCTAAAGTTGTTTCAAGATCAGTCGTAATCAACATCAACATCTAGCTATCTGCAAGGTGGGAACGGTAATGGTATAACAGTGGGCTTATATATACACATTATTGCCCATAACAGTAACGTCCCACTGACGTCATTATTCATACATACTGCCAATATTACGTCCGTACATCCCACGGGGAACTGTCAGTTAAGTAGACTAAGGCGTTGTGTTATAAGACTAAGATCGTGGGTTCGAGTTCCAGATTCGCCCTCATCTGATCCTTGGTTTCACAGCACCATTCCAGTGCTCGTTGGTTGCAATGGTGATTGCAGCACTTTTCTGATGTTCCTCCCACATTGAGCTGGACCCGTGAAGATCCGGGGTAGGATAGGTCTTCAGCAACCCATGCTTGCCGTAAACGGCGACTATGCTTGTCGTAAGAGGGATCGGGTGGTCAGGCTCGCTGACTCGGTTGATGCATGTTGAACAACGTACACAGAATATGTCACAGACAATTATCATAATATAATACAACTAATACATCACGAATATTTTAATCATATTTACTGACCAAACGATCATGATAGTCCCAAACGTATTAACCGCGTATGTCTACAAGGCTGCCAATTATCTAAGGTTCCGAGTTACATTCTTAAGGTGTTGACATTATTATGATTAAAGGATTAATGTTCACACTTTAAAAAAAAGAAGGCAAGTAAAATCAAGTAATCTTCCAATCTACTCATACATAATCTAAATCGTATTAATAACTGCTCGTGAAACTGATGTCTTCAAGTTGCCCTTCCAGTAGGGTCTACCGTGTGTGATGGTAGATGTCGCCGTTCATTCGTCACGCCATGTCCAAGAAATCGGTTATGACATTTCGGAGGCCTGTTAACAGTTGTTTTCTTGAGCAATCATTGATAAAGAATTCGAGTTCTAAGCCCCAATGCCATACATGGAGCAGCTGACAAATATCAATACATGGCATGCTCATGTTACCAAAGGACGTGAAAATCAAGTAAGCTTGTCATAGAAATGTTATATCTACCATTTTAACTGGTGTTCAAATATAACACGTATGTTGTTGCATAACTCACTCTCTCTCTCTCTCTCTCTCTCTCTCTCTCTCTCTCTCTCTCTCTCTCCCCCTCCCCCCCCCCCCCCCCCCCCGGACCTGTACATCACTGTAACACCTATTGGTCACATTCACAATGTCCATAGGGGCTGAGACGCGTACAGCGTTTAACTAACTTTGGCGCCATAATATCACAGACACAATAACGCATTTATTTTCATTCAAAATGTCGAAAATGTCATGAAACTTTAGATCACGTTAGCAAAACAGAACACAAACAGAACGATTTATATCACCAATATAGTATAATTACATGAACCTGTACGTGCAATCTGAAAAATCAACCGTTTGCCTTTAGGGAGCGCGAGGTCGTCATTGTTTCAGGAAGTGGAACACTAGTAAAACACAATAACAGATACATCCCTGAAGAACGACAAACAACGCATAATCGTTGCATCTGAAAGGCGCTGTCAAGCAATGGACGGGGGATAGATACATTGCATATATTCAAGGAAGATACTGTACTAAAACTAATTCTGGGTAAGCCGTCAGTAAGTGTACGCACTGCTATGCCAGGCAGCGTGACTGTGTAGTCGAGTCTTGGGTTTTTGATAAATATTGATTTAATCTACCAGACGTAGGGAAAAATGCCGAATTTCAAAAAAGGATTTGCCATCTACTCCTAGGCATAACCTAAGTGGTCATCACGCGGCCTACATGAGGACCCTTTGGGCTCACAAATAAATCATTCGAAACAAATCAGTATATTTTCTCATTCCTGTGGTTTGTCTCTACATTAGGTCCACTGACCTAAGGTAGACTCCTAAATTCCCGCCGGGACAACATCCCGCCCCAGCAATATACACCTACATTCACCAGAGCACCACAATTCATACGGCTGATGATTATAATGCGTTAATGTGATAAAGGGGCGGTCGAGTAGCCTAGTGGTTAAAGCGTTCGCTCGTCACGCCGAAGACCCGGGTTCGATTCCCGACATGGGTACAATGTGTAAAGCCCATTTCTGGTGTCCCCCGCCGTGATATTGCTGGAATATTGCTAAAAGCGGCGTAAAACCATACTCACTCCACTAATGTGATAAAAACATAACACGGCACAAGTTTTAAAGACATAGATTTATTGAATCAGTCGTAAAATCACGACACTACCCCCGGTATCTCAACCGATTTTAAGTATGCACTCCGCCGTTTTTACTGCGAGTCCCTCCACCGATCGACCGGTTCTGATAACACCTCTCACCGGTCCACCGGTTCTGGGAACACCTCTCACCGGTCCACCGGTTCTGAGAACACCTCTCACCAATCCACCGGTTCTGAGAACACTTCTCACCGGTTCTGAGAACACGTCTCACCGGTCCACCGGTTCTGAGAACACCTCTCACCGGTCCACCGGTTCTGAGAACACCTCTCACCGGTCCACCGGTTCTGGGAACACCTCTCGCCGGTCCACCGGTTCTGAGAACACCTCTCACCGGTCCACCGGTTCTGGGAACGTCTCTCACCGGTCCAGTAGTTCCGAGAACACCTCTCGCCGGTCCCTCGGTTCTGATAACACCTCTCGCCGGTCCACCGGTTCCGGGAACACCTCTCATCGGTCCACCGGTTCTGGGAACGCCTCTCACCGGTCCATCGGTTCTGAGAACACCTCTTGTCGGTCCACCGGTTCTGAGAACACCTCTCACCGGTCCACCGGTTCTGGGAACGCCTCTCACCGGTTCTGAGAAAACCTCTCACCGGTCCACTGGTTCTGATAACGCCTCTCACGGGTCCACCGGTTCTGAGAACACCTCTCGCCGGTCCACCGGTTCTGAGAACACCTCTCGCCGGTCCACCGGTTCTGAGAACACCTCTCACCGGTCCACCGGTTCTGAGAACGCCTCTCACCGGTCCACCGGTTCTGAGAACACCTCTCACCGGTCCACCGGTCCTGGGAACGTCTCTCACCGGTCCAGTAGTTCCGAGAACGCCTCTCATCGGTCCACCGGTTCTGGGAACACCTCTCACCGGTCCACCGGTTCTGAGAACGTCTCTCACCGGTCCACCGGCTCTGGGAACGCCTCTCACCGGTCCACCGGTTCTGGGAACGCCTCTCACCGGTCCACCGGTTCTGGGAACGCCTCTCACCGGTCCATCGGTTCTGGGAACGTCTCTCACCGGTCCACCGGTTCTGGGAACGTCTCTCACCGGTCCACCGGTTTTGGGAACGCCTCTCACCGGTCCATCGGTTCTGAGAACACCTCTCACCGGTCCACCGGTTCTGAGAACACCTCTCACCGGTCCACCGGTTCTGGGAACACCTCTCACCGGTCCACCGGTTCTGGGAACACCTCTCGCCGGTCCACCGGTTCTGAGAACACCTCTCACCGGTCCACCGGTTCTGGTAACACCTCTCACCGGTCCACCGGTTCTGAGAACACCTCTCGCCGGTCCACCGGTTCTGAGAACACCTCTCACCGGTTCTGAGAACACGTCTCAACGGTCCACCGGTTCTGGGAACGTCTCTCACCGGTCCACCGGCTCTGGGAACGTCTCTCACCGGTCCACCGGCTATGGGAACGTCTCTCACCGGTCCATCGGTTCTGAGAACACCTCTCGCCGGTCCACCGGTTCTGAGAACGCCTCTCACCCGTCCACCGGTTTTGGGAACGTCTCTCACCGGTCCAGCAGTTCCGAGAACACCTCTCACCGGTCCACCGGTTCTGGGAACACCCAACATCTCTGAGAATGAGCGTTTGCAGGGGACGTTCAAGGTTTCAGAGAGATTTTACCTGGACATAAGAGCCTACCAGCACCTGGACTTCTACCCTAACGCTATTCTAATCCGGATCTTCATTTGGTTATACAGCTGTGACTCCAGTATGGCACTAACTTAAATATGTCTTGAAACAACCTCGACGATAATAAGCCTATTGTACTTGTTACAAAAGCGTTTGCGATCAATAGCCATTTTTCGGGTTAATATTCAACAAGAGGCCAAAGTCATCGATATCCTCCACATGGTAAATACTTGTGAATAAGTCAGCCAGTAAAATCAACTTCCCCCGAAATGCCAAACTTTCAAAAGGCACCAGTTCACCTCTGGGCCTATCTATGTACGCAGTTTGGTGAAGAAATAGTGTACGGTTTCCAAGATCTGCTCCAGAAACGAGCACTACCACCATTTCCA